AAAAATAACTAAATTGTGAATTTCTAGGAAAACAATCAAAATTTGGGTCCGTACGTAATCTAATTAATGATTATCTAAGAGGGAAATTAGGGGAACAGTATGTGCCCATTCACGATTGGGTTTTGATTATTTAATACTTTAATAGAGTAGTAGAACAAATTGTGTCACGAGATGGGTGTTTCTATTGGACCACATACTTTCACTTTCGGACAAATTTAACAGCAAACGAAACTGCTTTAGCCTCTCATATACCGACACGTAACTTATCAGTTTGGTGTCACTGTACACTTGCCAGTGTTATTCTTTAATTATATCGTTAATTCTTTTGTTTATTTTGAGATTAGAAAATGTTAAAATGGGTCATATCGTTTGGGGGTTAAAGCCCCAATAATCGGTAACTGGTTACTTTTCTTATTGGTCCTCCACTCCTTTTGAGATTGGTTCCAAAATGGTGTTTCCTTACTTGATTCGGGGGTTCATGACCGATGTATCTCCTCGTAGCTCCCAATGGTCTGACCGATGCGGTACAGCTCTTCAGACCGTTCTAGGTATGGCTTTAGTTATTAGTGCTCCAACCCGGCTCAGTCCGATTAGAGCAAAACCAGTCCGTTCTGGCTCGCATAAACAAAATCGGGCTATAGAAACTGGATTGGACCTTCAAAGCCTAGAAAATCAAGCTTGGCTTGGCTCTGGCAGTACCGTGCCTAGTTAATCCATGGATTATTTAGTGCGGTTTTTACTCAGCATTGTCTTAAATTTCCCATAACAGCTAATCTATCAATGTGAATTCTGGACAGTGGACATAAATTTAACAGAACCTGTTGTTCCTCGAAAAGTAAATCAAAGTTGCAAACGTAAAACAGATAAGGTCTGTGCAAAGATGTTCTCGAGATAAATCATGGTCTCGTTCAGGTGTTGGGACTACTCACAAGCCGAGGTAAAATATTATAACAGAAGAACCAAACTCCGAGACTCCAGGAGACTACTAGTCTGACTTGTATCTCTTCTCTAGTTCCTCCAAACGCTCAAGGTCTTTGTTGTACTTGCAGATACGGTAGATGCACCTGTCATTGAATACGAGGGAATATCAGTCATATACATAAGTGCGACGTGTGCAGTGTGTGATAGTTATTGATGATGTACCAGTATAGAAGGATTCCAGCCGCGCACAGAACCACATTCCGCTGAGCCTTATATATCTGAAACACAAGCAAACTAGTAAAAAAGATGAGCTGAGACATTTTAGGGAAAGAGACTGAACCCGTGCAATCGATTCAAGCAAACTAAAGAGGCTGGGATCGATGTTTCCAGAAACAGAGACGATTGGAGTGGTAAAATCTCATACCACAATCAACCACCAACATATTCACAAGAACAGTAGTGCAATATGACCCAATACATTCTAACAAGTCTATCAAATAAAAGATATCGGGATGTTTCCACCAAAATAAGATTCCTTGCAACATCTTTTAGCTTCTTAACAGCTGCTAAATTATGCTATAGACACGAGCTAATAGGAGACAAAATTTAGGCAGTGGGACTAACCCAGCGAGTCTGTGACCAAATCTGCAATTGGTAGTACTATTGAAAATTCATTTGCTGTTTCATTACTTAGACATCTATATTTATACATTCAACTATCTCAAAGCAAGTAAACTCAATCCTCTGCTGATTTTACAATACTATATTCTTCATCAAAGAAGACAGATATGATCAAGTACGACCTAAAATAGGCTCTTAAACTCTAGTATCAAAGACGAAAGCACAATCATAAGCTACATTACAGATGATACTTACTGATTTCTCGTAACGATCCCTCTCTGTAGCAGTGCAAACCTCAGACGAGCACATTAGCCTATGCTCATTCTTCCAGTAAATATCTGAAAGAAACACATGACCAATTACCAAAACAAAAATAAGCTACCAAAACCACTCCCAGACTCGAAACCCTAACTATAAACACCATATCGAATCCCGAACAACAAAGAGTGAGAAATTCGGCGATCTGAGACTAAGAGAGAAGCGATTACCGAGGAGTTGAAATCCAGCGAAGGCGACGATGGAAGCGGCAGGGTGGAGTATGAGCGAGACAAGCGACACGATCCGTTTCTTCAATATCATAGGGTAAGGGAGGGTCAAGATGACGGCGATGGCTACCTCGGCGGCCACTACATACGACAGAATCAGCCACTGCAATGCCATT